CAAAATAGCATGTAATGAAATTAGCAAAATAGCGTAAGAATCATATATAGAAACGGATAAAAACTCTTGCTTTGAGATAACATAATTTAGGCAGTTGTCTTGGACAAAAACCAGCAGCGACTGACAGCATACTGCACATAAAGAGCTTATTCACTAAAACCTCTAAAACCTAGAATCGATTTACGATACGAACAATTCTCTAAAGAGAGATATTCAAGAAAATAAAGAAATCGGAGTAAATAAGACTAAACATCGATCTCTTTTTGTTGGTTACTAAGCATATTACAATATGAATAGTAAAATTCAGCGCTTGAAAATATTCACAAGGTGCCTCTTATTGCTATATATTTAAGTAATAGCCATAGACGCTAGGGTTAGCAGGTGAAATTATAGGTTGAAGCACTGTAAAGAATCAATGGTTCAATAAAATTTAAAATCAACAACAAAATGGCAAATATGCTGAGTAATATATTTAGTTTTGTTCTATCTAATAGAGCTCACATTTGAGCTAGATAGCAATAAATTAAAATATAGATTTTGAGATAATTTTTGCATAAATAAATACAATATTTTGTTTTTAATAAAAATGCGAAATACTTGTATAAGTTCGACCGTCCTGAATCCAACGTCGTGCTTGGCCTCATCAAAGAGTTCATCACTAGGGCCAACAAGTCGGACCCTCAACGTATATACATGAGGCCCTGTTTCTATATTATTTGGCCACCATGGCGTGATGTCAGTTTCACCTTCAAGAAGAACAGCATGAACATCAAGTTTTGAAGGCTGACTACCCATATGAAAGCACCGTCTTAAATGGACGTTGGGCTTCTCTAATAAATCAAGAAGAAGACATGCATCTAGGAGACCGACGTTATCTATTTGTCTGACTTCTATGAGGACATCAGCGTACCATAAGCTCTCTCCATCAAATCGCTGCCTGTAGGTAGAAAAAAATTTGAACCCTTCTCCAAGACGGATACCGTAACGTGAGTAGACTAGCTTTGGGATGTTCCAAAATCCCTGGATAGGAAATGCCGGGCCCCAATCCCATCCAAAAGACGCTTGGGTAGTTCTTATTAAGTTCACATGGCATTCGCCACGATATGATTTGGGCCAGCAATCAGGAGGAGGGATATTGTCACCATGTCGCCTGATTGAATTGGCTATTTGCATTGCCGTTTCAATTGAGGACTTGAATTCAATTCGTAGAATATTTTCAGCACCATCCTTAACAAGGCCATCTATGCGCCAAAATTCGTTAAGAAAACTGTTGTCAAGGCAGGATAATTTACGATCATTGATGAAGAGACAACCAAATCCGTCAATGCCATCGATATACAGTTCTAGGGAATGAAAATCCCGCTGGTCTCTGTGCCAAGAAAATTTGTGTATAAAAGTCCAATTCCTTTTTGCCAGCCACCTCGATTCAATATCTCTGTACCCCTCGAGTGGATCTCCAAAGCTCTTTTCATCATAGAAGGCGGAATACATATCCCAACCGCCATGTACATTTTGCGTTGATTGATAATTTGCACTAATAACTGACCATTTTCCGGAAAGGCTAGTTGTGAAGCCGGCTGCGACGTGCAATAAAACGCTTAGTATGCAACCCAGCAACAGCATATTGTGACCCGGAATAAGCAAATCCTAGTCATATATTTACGCAAAACTGGGCATGGCTTACTGATTTATATAAACGAAAGCATAAAACGAACGAGTTATAGCATTATTTTTACATAGTTTAATTTAAGGTAATATTCATTAATAAATTGTATTATTAAAATTTACTAAGCAATACTAAAGGTGATATTATGCAACAATAAGGTTACAGTAGATACCCGGCAAAACTTCTAAGAAGCATTGACTTATATGCATGTATTATATAGATTTTCGAAATGTATACATAGATACTCATAGTTGCGGCGATATTAAACTCCATATAAACTTACGATAAAAAGTTTAGTTGTGGTAGTTACTAGCTGTTTAATGATTCTAATAACACTTTTAAGATGTACTTTTACGATTGTGTTAATTACGAATAGCCTTATCAAATGAAGAAGCTGTCCAAAATGTTATATGGAATACGATCTAAGAAATGTTAATATTAATTTTAATTGCTTGATATATACTCGAAATGTGAAGTCCTTCAACATGCCGAAAATTCTATGTGCTTTATTATTACTGAAACTAATATATGAC